CGTACGTACGTAACGTACGTACGTACGAGTACTAGTACAGATAGAGTAGTAGTAGTAGTAGTAGAGAGAGAGAGAGAGAGAGAGAGAGAGAGAGAGAGAGAGAGAGAGAGAGAGAGAGCACCCATACTGGAATACACTTGACTTAATTGAAAGAATTAGCACTTTGTCCATCAAGCAAGGGGACGAAAACCAGAAACCAACCAAGACAATCAACGCTCTACTTTCAAACCCGCTGCAATTTGCCTTGGTTCCACCAAACGAAGAAGTACATACCCAAGAAAGTCCATCAAACCCATTGCAATCTCCCCTTACACTCTACACTTTGATGAATATTTCCATCAATGGCAATTGCTTGGCTACCAACCTTAGCAGGGCGTATTGCATACTTTAGTCGAAAAGTGGGTTTTGCTTTTTGCGTGTTGGATTCCGATGGTTCAGGCAGAACCTCATCAAAGAATTCCTCGGCGACATCACCATCTTCATCCATTTGAAGCCTTTTTGCATACCATTTAAAGCCCTGTCATTTTGCGCACCACAGGACGCAAGAGGCCATGGTGAATTAGTTGTTCATGGTTTCAGATATTAGTCATATTTTGGCTGGAAAAAATATCAAGACAGATCATGGTTCACTAAAACCAATTGTGATTGTTATTGGGGCTGATACAGTGAAAGAAATGGAAATGATGGAAAATACGGGTTTAGTACCAGTCCAACTGCTAAAGTAATGAATATTTCCCATGGAACTCAATGCAATCACAAGTCTTTATGGCTTTGTTTTCTTGAAATTCTTGAAATCTCTCTCAGGAAGTCAGAGATAAAAATGGGTGTCCATTGGCTTTTTTTCTTAAAATCTTTTTCAACTTTATTTGCTTAAAAAATTGGTTGGTAAGCATATAAAAGAAATAACAAACTATAGAAACCAAAGAAGAGAAACCAGTCAGGAAAAATAGAACATAAAACATCAGAAAGTTTTCAAGGCATTTCAAAATTTAAATATGCAATCCTTCTGTATTCTGGCACTATTGATTTGATTTAAACTGTTACAGAAACAAGTGTCCACAGGGGAAGCATCTCAAATGCAAAAAAGAATGTAGCATAGAATGTTGTATGTTCATGAACAATTAAGTGGTGACAGTTATCTATGCAAGACACTTGCACTGTCAACATCTCTCTAGACAGAGAAAGTAATTCAAGTAACAAGTCTTGTACTTTCACTCTCTACAGATAGCTAAAAGAAAGAGAATAACACAATATTAAACCTATATATGCAAAATGCAACCAATCTAGACTTATCAAGAATCTGAAAAGTTTTGTTTGCTTCGGAGACTTTTTTCTTGATTCAATTTGTTCTATTGACCTATTAAATGGTTTTCCTAGGTAATTTATCAACATCAAGCAATAGGTAGAAGAACCATAATGCTAATAAACTTGGAATTTGGAAATAAAGCGAAATGTAGACAGCAGCATCATATCTGTACTTTTCTGTATGTGTTAGCCTATCTTCATTACCCAACTATCCAAGCATAGCTTTGTTAGTTTGTAACCTACGATGGGCTTCTCTAATACTTGAAAATGTAAAATGATCTCGTGCGCTTGAAATGAGAAACCATCTAACAAAATCGTATTGCCACATATTATTCATTAGTTGGCTGCTGACATGGGGTAACACATGCACACCACTGATATGAAAGGAAACATTTTGTATTCGACCCAGAAATATGGGAGTAGTTGTTGCAAATTAAGATTCCAAAGAATAAGCATCTGAGGCTCCTCCCTCACACACACCCACACACACACACACACACAAGTCACAAAAGTGATACTCTATTATATCATGAACCACTTTATAGAACGAACAGCATCAATTTCATGTAGACTTAGGAAAAGCTTTTCCCATAATTAACTTAAGCTGTAGACTCTGGGCCCATGTCCAAAGCATGGGGATTCTTGGATTATTCTTCAAAAATTATTTTTCAGCCTATTTATTGAAGAAAATAGATTTTCTATACATTAGATCTTAACAATTTTATTACTTTTTTTGCTCGTGGGTTTATCAGAGTGGGTCTGTGTATATGTGGACTGATTGTGAGTCAACAGCAAACTGTCAATAATAATATTACATAAATCCAATATCCACATAGCAAGACACACCATACCATTGGAAATGCGCATTGGCATTGTCATATGCCAACCACATAGAGGTTAGATTCGATAGATCGTTGGCCAAAAAAAAAAATCTTAATACGAAACTTAAATCTCTAGCTTCTATGGTGCTTTTTCTCCCCCAAGAAAGAGGAGCAACTTTCATACAAGAGGGCCTTATTTCTTGACCAGTGCAAGGGCCTTTATATCTTTTCATTTTTCTAATGTACTCATCTGTTTAGTTATTTAGATAAGTCAGAGTTGGGGTTTGATGGCAAGCTAAGATCTCATTAAGCAAGAGAGCTGCGTGAGTGAAGGCTCTCATTAAAAAGCTTCGCAATCCGCTCTGCTTCATGCCTATGAGAGTTCATGTGAAAGTTGTTCAGTTATAAAGGCTCAGTTCAGGCAAGAATGCTCACCTCATTGAGTGAAGAAGAGTTGCAGAAGGTAGTGAGTGTAAGCGGCTCTCTTTGCTCATAGAATGGGCGGGCAATCACAGCATCTTTTTGGCTTTTCAAAGTTAACTGCTCCTTTGATATAAAAGAAAAAAAAAAAATTCCTTCTACGAGATAAAGCAATCACAAAGCATTCCTGATAATTTAAACTCTTCGGGTTCAATGTGATTTCATAATATACCTCAAGCTTCTGTTACGTGTATCTCTTGGTTTATTATCTTCATTTTTTCTTTTGGATAGTTCAGCAGTAGGAAACAAACTTGCGATGTAGAGAATAACAAACAACTAAATAATCAAGCACAAGCCCAATTCCTAGAGCATTCTTTTTCTTGTTTTACTAATTCTTCTCAAACTCGCTAATTGTTTCAAACGTCACTACTTTTAAATATACTTTCCCCCAAAAAATTCACTCAAGACTTTATGCAAACCTCATTGACTAGAGGCCCAATTAGCTCAACTTTAAACCATGTGAGATGTAAAGAAAGTAAGAAATAAATGAATCTCACAACAGATCCACAAATGAAATTGCAAAGCAACTTGACTGGGCTATGCTATATCATTAGAAAATTTTTCTTATACTGAGTTAATCTCTCTAGATTTGAGTTAATACATCCCCTTGCTTTATATCAAGGTTGATTTATGGAACAGTGAACCAAACTAGACTTGCCCACTAAATATTTGTTGAAATGAGATGACTAGATTTTTAATGAGAAGCTCCTTTCGTTTTGCTACTTTATGATAGATTGAGCAAAATAGGAAGAAGAAGAACTCTGGATGCACTTCCCACTCGAACAAGTAATGCCAAATCAGCCTGAACATTGGTCTTGGAGCAAAGATCGACACCTCAATAACAGGTTAAGACAATTCAACAACCACAGTATGATATTTTTCTTTTCCAAGTCATCATTTCAATGCCTCACCATACATTTATTTCATGAACATAAGGTCAAAAGATTTCCCATCATTCATATCCAGTCTTCTACCATTTCTTTTTCTCTTTCTTTTTATGTTTTTCCTGGAAAATAAAATTCAGGCTCCATCACTTTGCTTCTTGACTTCATGAAGAAACCCTTGGTGCATCTTTATGAACCTTCCTCTCTTTGAAATCTCCAAAAATAATTTAGGGTTTCAATTCATCAACCATAAATGGAAGAGGTTTTCTTTCCTTCTTACACTGTCTATACTTTTTCACATGTCCAGACTCCAACCCTCATAAATACATATAAGAATACAATATTATCATGCAGCAAACTTGGAAATTAAAGATTCTTTTTCGAAAGTTGGGGCATTATTCTTCACCAGAATTCATAATTCTTATACTTAGGAAGCCCATCCCATGATTTTTTTCAAACGAAAATAATGCATCGGAAGCTGGATCTTATTCTGGTATAAAAAAAACAAAAAAATGACCCTAGCACAACAAAGTAAGTAAAACTAACATCATTCAGAAAGAAAGTATGTACACCTTCCAAATACACTAACCTTAATGGTGGACAAGCAGTACTATAGGGTATTCAATCTACAATAATTTTGTCACAAGCAAGAAACTACAAACAAGGTCAGACAGCTTGATGAAAGTACTCTTTCTCTCTCTTTCTTCCCCCACTGCCCCCCCCATGTGACTGTATTATTGAACGATATGCACTACGTTCCTTTCTGTTGTGCCAAGTGCCAATCCATGCAACTTGATACTAGAAGTTTATCCTCCATAATAAAATATCCAAAATTAGTTCACAGACCAGTTAAGAAGAAAATAAAACATATTCTAATTTTTAACGGCACTAAAATTGCAAGCTCCCAACCAACAAAATCACTGGAGGCCTAAATAATACTTGCAATGATAAAATAAAATAAAAGAACTGAATAAAATTTGTGAGAGTACCTATGTTTCAGTACTAGAACTGCAGTAAAGATTAAAAAAAAAGCCACATAACTGCATTTAAGCAAAAGCAATGCATCAAATGCAACTTAAGTTTATTACAAAGAACTAAAATGCCATAAACCAAAAAGAACAATCATAGAAAGCATGGAAAAGAGAAGAACCACAAACAAATACAGTTCAAGACTTGATAGTAATGCTAGAAAGTATGAAATTGAGAAGAAACACAAATAGATACAATTCAAGACTTAGTAGGAACAAGATTAAAACAAACCAGAGGATTCCGAGTAAGACAAATGAGAAGGAAAGAATGAAAGAAAGAGGGAAAACAATCTGCACACAACTAGAAATCTCATAGGCTTAAAAATGAGGAATAAGATAAATGGATAAACCAAACGGGACATAAAAGCAAAAGGAATTCAACAGTGCACAGATAACTAATGATAACCTCACCTCAACAATTGCCAAATCGTGAATCAAAGCACGTGTGCCAATGTGAGAGAGAGAGAGAGAGAGAGAGAGAGAGAGTAGTTACAACAACGAACCAACAATAGAAATGACGACCAACTAACCATAACGAAAACACGTACCAATAGTAACGTCGGACCATAGACATAGAAAACACGTACTAAGTTAGAGAAGAACAAAATTCATCAAGAA